ACTAAGTCATTAGCAGTCAGTTAAATGCTGTCACATATTTAACAGAATAGTAGTCTCTCCCACATATCCTGTGACTACCTAGCCACATGTTCTTGGCCCTCCTAACCCTGTCAGGTATAGGCTCTATCTTGTAAAACAAGTCTTAAATCCAATAAGTAGATAATTGGTTAGTCCCATAAAATTTGTGCCACTGTTGCACAAGTAAGTAAGCATATTTTGGTATGCCAGTGGTTATTGTAACTCGCAGTTTCACAGCTGGGCATGGTTGATGATACTTTTCCAGTAGCATGGACAGCACTGTCTAGTACTTTCAAATCTAGACATTAGGGAATTGCAAAGTAAAACCAATGTGAGAAAACTACACCATTTTGGGGCATATACCTAAAGGACTCTGTATCTTACTCAGAAATACCTATTCGTCCTTGTGCATTGCTACTCTATTCACAATAGCCAGCGAATGGAAAAAACTGATGACTGGAAAATGAAAATATGGTACATTTACACAATGGAATAGTATTCAGCTGTTAAACATGCAAAGTTATTAAATTCACAGGTAAATAGATGGAACTGTAAGAATAATCCTATGTGAGGCAACCCAGACCCATAAAGACAAACTGTACATATTTTCTTTAGTATGTCAATGTTACTTCTGAACATTTTGATAGATATATTTCAATTGAGAAATTCATAGAGTTTAGGAAAATAGTAAATAGTCATCGAAGATGATTCATGAGAAGGAAGATAGAATACAGTGATACAAAGGGAACAGGGGAATAATAAAGTAGGCATGGTTAAATGGGCTGGGGAATGGAAGCCCAGGGCATATGAGAGAATAAAGGGAAGGTTAACACTAAAGGCCTTTAGAAAACGTCATACAAAAACTATTACAGAAGCACTTTTGTAGCAGGGATAACCAACAGCTCTCTGATTAGACTTAAACCCCGTTTAATGGGAGTGAACTCATGGTTGGCACTGTAAACACAGTCAAATACACATGGCTGGAGAGGTCATAGATTCTAAAGAAAACTTTACCTTTGTCATGCCAGTAGATAAATATAATTTCTTATTGTGTACTAAATGTGGATTCTTATATTTGCAGACAAGTATACTAATCACTATTCATCAAAGAAGCTGCTTTTTGCAACAGATGGAGACTATTACAGAGTTCTACAACCAGCCACACACAGAGAATAAATGTCTGAGAGATGACTAACCACAAGTGGCACATCTACAATGGAACCTCTACAACTAAGGCTCATGGAACATAGTGGAACAGGGGGTAGAGAGAATACTAATGCACTCTTCAACTCGCACCAGCGACACTTCCTCATGCAACAGAGTGTGGTGCACACAGAAGGTTACAGCTGGACAAGTTTTAGAGAATAAGAACTGCAGAGTGTCTGCCCCTGGATAGGACTGCTATATTAAACCTCACCCATCCATGGCTTAGGGACCTTTGTGGAAGAAAGGACAGAAAATTTGCAAAATCCAGTGTTGGTGTATGAACAGAAGGCAACAAAGTCTTTCAGGCCTCTGGGAACTTCCTTATATGAACTTACAGCAATGGTGTCAGTGTGCAAAAATCCATGCTGACACAGACAAAAACCCAGCCTAAGACTGTAGAAATGGACAACAGGCCTCAAATTTGGCTGAGAAACTATTGACAAATTATTATGGCTAGGTGATGGACGATTGATCATTTTTAAGAGGGTGGGTGATTGTAGATAGGCTAATTAAACTCCAGTGGTTGAATTTGCAGAAAGGGACACCTGGGTTCAAAAGCTTGACTCAATATGCCTTAACATATTTGACAATATGCATGAAAGCTGGTTGGGGGTGTCATGGGGTGTTATTTAGGTGTGTCCTCCAAATGGCAAGCACATGGATAGATGCCTTCTCCAGCTTCTCTTATGGTCACCTCAATTGGTTTGACCCCTACGACTCTCCATAAGAGGGCATGGAGACATTCGCCCTCCCACCCAGTCAGTCAGCCTCAACTGCATGAGGAGGAGGGTCTAAGAGTAGACATGGGAGAAAGCAAGGGAGAAAGCAAGGGAGGAAGAGGAGCTTTGCCATCTTGGCTGAGGAACTGGTGACTGCAGATTTAGAAGGCTCAGCTGAGACGTAGGGAAAAAAATCCCATGGGTTTCCACACCCTTGTCAGCACCTTCTTCACCATCATAAGCTGTGTTGGTAAACCCAAATAAATGTCTTTTTTCCCCTAAACTGTAGTTCGAAGAAATATTGGTCAATGGGTGGTAAGGGAGCCATGTGTGTGCTTCCCAGCAGTACATTTGACTTATGTAGGGGTTATGGATGCAGAAGATGCTTAAATATGATTAAGATGTATTGTATGAAATGAACAAAAATTCGATAAATATTTACATTAAAATAAAAAGAAGTTTATATGGAGTTACCTTTTTAATAGGGGAACAATGCCCACTACCAGACACTGCAGGCTGGCAAATAAAAAGTCAGTACCAGGAAATGGGCTCCACTAAAGAATACAACCCAGTCAAAATTTATAGAAAGTAAAATATCACTCGTATTCCAAGAAAGACATTCTGAGAGTCCTCATGGATAG